GAGAGAGAGCAGGATGAGAGTGAGAGAGTAGTAGACGTAGACGTAGTAGTACGAGTACGTAGTCGTAGTCTAGGTCTCTCTCTNTCTCTATACTAGAAATCCACTATCCATGGGGCTTTTTTCTAGCAATTTTAGATGGTGAATCCAGTCATTAATCTGCTATTGGAATTTTTGCTCTCTTTCTCTCTATACCTGAAATCCACTATCCATGGGGCTTTTTTCTAGCAATTTTAGATGGTGAATCCAGCCATTAATCTGCTATTGTCCGGAGCTCAAGTATATTCAACTACTATTTTGATTGTTTGATTTAATGGTGGAAAAAATGCAAAAAATTTGGATTTTTTTTGTGGGTTTTTTGCAAGGTCTTGTAACGAGTCTTGAATCTTTTGATTAGTGTTCATTCAAACTCAATGAAATATTCATTAAGTGGCTGTGATTTTTTATGCTTTTTTCATGTGCAAAAATACTTTCTTTTGTGGGTTTTTAGATACCTTTTTTTTTGCTCTTCGTCTCTCTCTCTCTCTCTCTTCTCTCTCTCTAAATATTCATTTCCATTTCTCCAAGCAAGACTTTTCTGTTTCTGTTGTTTTGGATGAATGAACTTTGAAGCTGAAACTATAGTGTTTTAAGAAAAATTCAATTATTAATTAATAACCACCATGATAGAGTTTAAAATATCGTAAATCATGCACTCATAATTTTCTGTTTATAAGCCAAACTTTTTTCCAATAAATTTATTTTTTTCCATGTGAAAAGATGTTGAGAACTTGAGATTGATTTGTTATATTTGTTTATTGTTTTCTTTTATGTTTTTTATGTGAAACTGAAAAAAAGACAATTTTATATATTTCCTTCTTTCTTTTTCTTTTTATGTTAAAAACCATTGAAAAGAATATATATTATGAGTTTTACATTTTGTGTCTTCAATAGTTATTTGACTTGTTGTATTTTTAATGAGTATCTACGTATTGCTCAATGGTTATTTTTCGTTTCTAATATTTTTTTTAAGTTTTTCCAATTTTTCAATAAATTTAATTTCTCCCTTTTTCTTTTTGATCCATATTTTTATTAATTTTTTAATTCATAGACCAGTCTGACCATGAACGAGTTCGGTCAGCCCAACTAGACCAGTGCCCTCACTGGTCAGATCCTAACAACATTGGTCAAGAGTATGGTGCCTAAATTTTAGGTGGACATTGGTCAAAGCTCACATTACCTTCCTGCTGATGGCCCTTATAAATTATTTGGAGTCCCTCCACCTCAGGTAAGTTCACCTTGTCATCAATCTGTAGTATTTTGCACCAACAACCCATCTCCAACTCCTCTTCCCAAATCTTGGAAGGAGAGCATGGCTGAGACCCATCCCTCCCAAAATCCAAATTTTCACTGGATTTTGATCCTCAAGAAAGCACTCATGGCTGACTTCCTGCAATGAAGAAGCATCCCTTAACCTAATAGATGTGCTATGTGTAATACAGCCAAGGAATCATATAATCTCTAATTCCTTCATTGCAAAGGGGATGGAATGTTTTGGGCAATGATGCTACTCATCTTTCAATGTACATGGGTGTACCACTCCACTGCTGTTGTTTCAAACCTTGTTCCCCCCTTATATAGCAGCACACATTTTTCTTTGGTGTGCTTCATTGGTTGCAAGAATTTGGATGCTTTGGACTGATAGAATGCCAGAGTATTTGAGGGAAGAGAGAGAGCACTTCCAATGGTGTAAAAGATCAAATCAATTCCATGATGATCTCTTGGGCTAAAAACTCAAAACATTCAAATGCTTGGTCACCACAGATTTCCTTGACAATTGGCATACTATCTTAAAAGCTAGGCACTTCAAATATCTCAGTCCTCCCTATGGAGATTCCTTGATGTTGGGCAGATCAAACTTTACTTTGATGGTTGCTCACTCGACAACCTTCTCCCAGCTGGTTTCGGAGGACTTTTCAAAGACCACAACCAAAATACCCTCTCTTTCTCATGTTTCATTGGGCATACTGATTCCATAATGACCGAAAGTTTAGCTCTCCTTGGGGGTGTCCAATGATTCAACCCGGAATGGGTTAAGTTTTTGGTCATTGAGGGTGACTCAAAGAGTGCCATATCTTGGGCATCTGCTGCTTCTCGTTGCCCTTGGCAGCTACATTTTAAAACAAATATTTGATCTTTGCAGTCATATTCATACCTATTTCGACATAGGTGGTGGGAGGCAAACTATTAGTTTTAAAATGTGGGGATGGGATTATTTTAATCAAATCTGGGGCTATTAGTTATCTACATAATAGAAGGTGTTATGTCCAATATGGTTTTAAAGGGTCTTCAGCTACAACAATTAAACTGGACTGGGAGCTGAAATTATGTTTGACCAATCAATCGAATGAGAAATCATTTGTTGAGCCAAATGTCCTCACGGTCTGTGCATTTCTAGGGAGGTTGATGAAAGGAGATGCAATGGCTGGGACAATAAGCAATGGGTAAATATTACTTGGAAGCCTTTGCAGGCATAAGTTTTCTCATTTCATTGTAAATGTGGAGATGACCCCAATGCCCATATGGAAAGGATTTGGGACCTTAGTTTGTGCTCCAAATCTCTCTGATGTCTTGTGGCTGATGAATCTAGATATCAAAGCACAAAAGAAAACTGAAATGGAGCATGTCATGGCTTCCTTCCAAATTTATATGGTTTAAAATAGTTTCTATGGGCCTAAATATGGGACTTTGGAGAGATTGCAAGGCATGTAGAGTAATTAATAAACGCTAGGATTAGTACATACTCGGAGAGGGACCTAATGATGCATGAAGAGTCCTATTTGGAAGATATATCAGGAACACATGGTGGAGGATTACAACCTCTAGAGCAGCTCCTAATTTTTAAGTTGGAGAAATCATATCCTTTTGAAGAGAAATCGTGAGAGTTCCATGGTGGTTTGGAAAACATAAAAAGGGATGATGTGATGTTTTGCTATAAGTGAGGAAAACTTGAGCACTTGTTCAACATTACATGACCAAGCAAGGTTCTATTGCTAAAGAATGTTGCAAATCCAGTTGTCTATTGTTTGGACACTGATTTATTTTGTGGAGTTTGAAGATTGACACTATTCTTTCAATAGATGTGGGGAGCGGAGCTTGTTGGGGAGTGGCAATCCTCCCTTGAAATCTCGCATCGGCGATCCCGAAGCTAGAGCCTAGTTCCTTCCATCAAGGTAGCTCAATCCTTATCCTATAAGGATCTTGGTCTCTAACTAAAAGGGATCTTGATTATTGTGGAAGGGGATCATGACTCCACTGAAAATGGGGTGCAGTCACGGTTTGAAAGGATCTCGATCATACGGTATGTTTCAAATGTTTTTGAAGTTTGAATCTGATGTACTTGATTTAATGCTTTTCTCTTTTTGGCCTTTTGTCAAATTTCTAGCTAATGACCACTTGTTGATGATTTATGTTTTCTGCTTGCATGGTGGTGGTTTGATTGAGTGGTTTAAAATTGGTGAGCTGACTCTGAATCGCCCGAGTTGGCTCAGACTTGGGTTTCATCCTGGTCTCAAATTGTCTCGAAGAGGGAAATTACTAGTTTTGTCCAGAACTGGGTTGTATTCAATATAGTGAAGCGTCCTGTCTCGTTAGGTTAGTGTCTCGGGCTATTCCTAAATTCGGCCTTTATATTGGTTCTTAGGCACTCCCAAGTTTGGGAGCTCCAACCATGGTCCGATCCTAAGCTCTTGCTCTAGCTCTTGCTCCTACACCCACTTTGCTCCCACTCCCAACAACTATGATTCTTCCTCATGCAAATGTAGATATGTTTCTAAAGAAAGAAAAGACTCTTTGAAATTAGCGTCGATGACACCATGTCATTTAATGATCTATAATCAATTTTACACATTGTAGTACTTGTATTTTCTTGGTGACCTTCTCTGGTTTACCCATGTGTACCTCGAGTGATTATCTCAATATATTCTTGTGATCCTGTTGTCTTGGTCTTCTAATGTGAATATGTTTTTTGTAATGATCGTGTTATTGTAAATCATGGTTTTAAAGATTGCCGATTGAAATAAGCGTTAGTTGATCAAGATCGAGTTTGGTGGTTGGGCGATCAAGGCTATGGAATCCGGTTGATTGCCGATTTGTCCAAATTCTTATTTTTAATATTTATTCCTTTCTTTGTTAGTTTGCTCTGGCGTGTCAGCTGATCTTTATGGAATCACCGATTTGTATCGGTTCACTAGAGGGATGATTTGATATGGGTTTTAAAAGCCTGTTGTAACTTGTGACATATTTCTTTGTGATTCCAAAATTAGATTTATGTTGGTGACTGCAATTACTTGCATGGATTTGATAAACGAAATTTTGAAAGGAACAATGTCTTAATGCCCTACACTGGGTATGGAACTAGGGTGCCCAGTCTAAGTCGGCTAATCGAGCATGTCGTTAGAAAACTGTAATTTTTGGATGACTTTTGTTGGATTTTTAGAAGACGTAGAGAGGCGTGGGTCAAGCTTGGATCATCTAATATGGTACTAGAACCAACATGGTGCTGGTTCCGAGTGAGTTGGGGGCATGGAATCGAGATTTTGGGAACTAAGTATGTGATACATACTTTGTGGTTTTGGGTGTATTTGCAACTAGGTTTATCGGCGAACTAGGAGTTCTGAAATGGTCCATTTTGATCATATTGTGGTCACCTTGGGTCTTGCACTCGTTTTTTTTATGTTGCAGTTGTTTTTTTACTGTGTTCCTGAATATTGAAGCATTATTGGTATGGTGTAAATATGTTTTTTGGCATTAGTGAGATTGATATTCAATATTATTTATGTCCTCAAGCATTTCTGATTTCTACAACTATGGTTGCGATGGCTTGAGTTGGTTTAGGTATTTCTTGACATCCTCACTCTTTTCCCATCACCTCTCTCTTCAAATCTTTGAAGTAATTAGGTTATTTGGTTGAAACAAGTTATTTTTGTATCAATTTTTTTTAAAAAAGAAAAAGAATAAAGTAGAAAAGAGAAGTTCTTTCTTTTACATTATATTTTGACTTCCATTGTCATGGATGAGTTAAATGGGCGTCTACAAGATAAGGTCCCGTTGTGTATGTTGTTTGTCAATGACATAGTTTTGATTGTTGAGACTAGAGGGAGCGTCAACACAAAGTTAGAACATTGGAGAGATGCTCTAGAATCTAAAGTTCTAAAATTAGCCAGACTAAGACAAGACATATGGAATGCAAGTTTAGTAATAATCGGAGTAGAAATGAGGAGTAGTTAAGATTGATGTTCAAGAAATACCTAGAAGAGATTGTTTTTGATATCTAGTGTCGATAAGTCAGGAGAATGGAGAGATTGAAGAAGATGTCGCACATAGAATAAGAGTTGGATGGACGAAGTGGAGATGTGCATCAAGAGTTTTATGTGATCGTCGTATGCCATTGAGATTGAAGGGGAAGTTCTATAGGACCAAGCATACTTTATAAAAAGGAATGTTAGGCCGTCATGAAACATCATATCTATAGGATGAGCGTAGCTGAGATGAGGATGTTGAGATGCATGAGTAGCAAGACAAGAAAGGATAGAATTCAGAATGGATACATACGAGGGAACTTACATGTGGCTTCAATAGGTGTGGCTTCAATAGGTGGGCTAGCCATGTGTAGCATAGACTTAATATACCAACGGTTAGGAGGTAGGAAGGCTCTAAAAGGACAAAGGGAAGGTCCAAAACGATATGATGATTTTTGGTATTAATGAAGGTATGACCCTTGATAAAGAAGAATGGAGGAACATGATTCATGTTGCTGACACAAATAATTGGGATAAAGCTTGGATGATGATGATGATGGTGACGATGATGATGATTTTGACTTCCACAAATATCTTGTCATTTATATGTGATACTGTGAAATTTTTAATACTTTTTGTTTCACTTATCATTTATGATTATTTCCTTTTCTTAAGCACACATTCCATTTGAAGCTCTGAGTTGGGTGTTAACTTGCTTTGATCATCACTGGATAATTTATTTGAGGCCACTTACTCAATTAATACAATTGGCTGGCCAGGTTAAGTTCTTGAAGTGTTATAATAACACTAGTTGATATTTCCCTTCAACGGTGCTTCTTCTTTATTTGTTTATTTGTTTTTTCTTTTAAAACTCTTTTAGAGAAGTGATGGAAAATGTTTAGTTGCATTAGAAAACATGATGAGTTGTTGTGCTTATTTTCTGAAAGTGTTGGCTTTTCTGAACTGTGTTTGAGTATCAGATTATTGAATAGTTCATTCATCACTTTCTTTTCCACATGCATAATGCAGCTGAGGCTGAAAAGAACAATAAGAACAGTGATGGAACGACAAAGGCTGAGGAACGATCTAAGCGTGTTCGTTCATTGAGTGAGTTGCTCTATCGTTCAGAGGTCGAAAATAGTGATACATCACAAGATGGGCCAAGATCTGAAAGAGAGGATTCCGATTATGATGAAGAGATGGGGGTGGAGTTGGATTTCGAAACATCTGTTTCAGGTGATGAGGGGCGAGAGACTGAACCACGCATTCTCCGTGGAAGTTTAAACTTGAGATTTCACAATAGAGGAGATTCCGGAAGGGAAGATTGCAGTACAAATGGATCTTGTGGGTCACCCTCATCATCTCCGAGAATGGAAAATACTTCAACCCAGGCATGTATTGACCTCTGTTTTGGATGAACAGAATTTTGATGCACAATTCTGTTTTCTCATATAGTCAAATAACTCCGAATATTTTATGATATTGTACATTGATAAGTGATAACCATTGTTGACTGTAGCAGTTTTGGTGTTCAATATATTTGGATGATTCTTATTATGGATATTTTCATGAAGAAATATTATATATAATCAATGGAAGAGGAATGTTTCCTGAATAAGATAATTTTTCTTTCACATCCTAGACCTACAAGCTATACCTAGGGTCAACTGTCATGTAATATCAGTTATCATAAAAGCTTTGTAATCAAAATGTTGAGCAATGATGATTGAGCACTGTAGTACTTCATGGTGCTCTTTTTCTTGCTCTCCTTGTTTTATGTCTCATGCCTACGCTTGCCAACTAGAAGTGGGATGCAACACATAAGTTCTGAGCTGCATGTTTTTCCCCAATCCCCCCAAATACAACCCCCCACTCCAACCACAAAAAGAAAGAAAAAAAAGAAAAACGCTAATGTTCCATCTATGCTAATGTTGCCTCCATTTTGAATGTTACACACATTTTGCTTCTTTCCTCTCATCATTGCAGCCGGAGGTTGTAATTGATATGAAACAGAGATATGTTGGTCACTGCAATGTGGGGACTGACATAAAGCAAGCAAGTTTTCTTGGCAGAAAAGGTAAACATTGGACCCACCTCTTCTATTTTCCTTTATCTTCTTTGTAACACTTTTGCATGTTTGGAAGCTAGACATATTATTAACGCCTATGTTACATTGACACTTCAAAACATGTGAAGTCGCTTGGATCGATGCCTGCTGAAGGTGATGTATCAGCATTGACTGGAAGTAATGTAAATGTTGTTTGATATTTCAGAAACAATGATTATTTATCACCATTTAATTTACTACTTCTGAATGAGAATAGAAATGCTCGATAAACATGAAGAATGGGGAAGATAAAAAGCTTTATTGGGTAAATACGGAAAGTCGGAAACAATCCTTAGAGGAGAAATTAAGGGTTTCAAGCATTATAAACTAGAACGTTTTACTTGATACATGACACCAATTATATGGCATGTTATTTTGTTCATTATTATAGTTGTGAACAAAAAGTACTGCATAAAGACCATGTGTATGCTTGCATGTCGTTACATAGGTTCACATCCACCCATCTGCTTTTGAATGAATATAGTATGTGATGTTTATGTACCATTGTTATCAGATTTGATTTGGAGGCTTCTTCAGTTTGGCTGGTAAAAGGAAGTGTCATGGCCGTTATATGGGAGACTTTAATTTCTTTAAATTTTGAAGTAATTTTAAATATGTATAGAAGTTAACATTTACTCAAGAAAATTTAGATATGTATAAAAGAGAAAAATGATAGAAACTTAAGGAAAATAGCAAATGAGGCCCTAGCAAATTTGGGAAATTTGAGATATTATCTGAGACTAATATTAAAGAATTTTATCTTTTTTAAATGTTAATATTGAAGCATTCTATTTCTTGTTAATAATAAAGGAGCCTTTCATTTATTTATAAATTTTTATTGAAGTGCAAGTTCCGATATTAGAAAACATTGATTGCTTTGTGGGGGAATAAAGAGCTAGAGCTTTTATTAACTGCCCAATTTTTAATAAATTCCAAAAGGACTTTTTTGTTGTGTAGGTGCTTGCAGGGATTGAAAAATTGCCGTGCTGACTCGAGCTCGTCGAAGTCGGCTCAGATCCAGGGGGTACCTGGGTTTATTTTCACCTGGAATCGGGAGAGACGACCCAAACCCCCTTGAAGATTTTTTTTATGGTGAAAACAGCTACAAAGCCACTGTTTTTTCATCATTTTTGAGACCAATGACTCATTCGATATTAACCCCCTATCGATCAATTGATGCAAAAGGTGATCCGTGATTGATAAAATTCCAGCTTAGGAGCTTGAATTTTGATTTTTTTTCCAAGTTTCTTCATTAAAAATATTGTTTTAGGAACCCTAAAATACAGATTCACCAATCCATTATTTTCTCGCTCAAATTTCTACCAAAAAATTTGAAATTTGTTTCAAATTGTTGGTGAATGAGTTCTCCATGAAGATCCTTACTTGGAGTGTAAGGGGCTTGGGACAGTCGTCCCAAAGGGAAGCAGCTAAGGATTTCACCTTAAAACACCTCCCTGTGATACTCGCCCTCACAAAAACTAAACTATCAGAGCCCACCCTCCACCTCGTTCTTCCGGTCTGGGGTAGAAGACCATGTCAGTGGGCCACTCTGCCAGCGGATGGGGCGTTAGGGGGCTTATGGGTGATCTGGAACCCTTCAAATCACCTCCTTCTCTCTTCCCACCTTGGGGAGTTCTCCGTCACCGTGCTTCTCTCTCGCACATCAGACGACTTCCTTTGGAAATTCTCCGCCATTTATGGCCCTAACTCAGCCTCTCTCTGACCACGGCTTTGGGCAGAATTGGGCCATGTAGCCTCCCTTCCCCATCCTACTTGGTGTTTGGGAGGGGACTTCAATATCACAAGATGGTCACATGAGAGGAACTCTAATCCCTCTATCTCCCAGGGAATGCGGGACTTCCCGGACTTCATTTTTCGTGATGAACTCCTAGACATCCCACTTCAAGGAAACCGTTTTAAGTGGTCTCTCACCCAATCAATCCCTCTCTAAACTTGACAGATTCCTTCTATCTCTGAATTGGGAGGAACACTTTCCGGGTTCTCACGCCATGGCATTACCAAAACCCACTTCTGATCACTGCCCCATCCTCCTGGATACACTAGCCGTTAGAAGAGGACGTAAGCCATTCAGATTCGAATTAGCCTGGCTGTTAGAGGAGTCTCTCCCTTCCCTGATCCCAATATGGTGGAACTCCTTATCCGTCTAGGTGTCGAGAAGAGCAGGTTATAGACTTCATACCAAAATCCAACTCCTAAAAGCCTCCCTAAAAGTTTGGAGCAAGTCCATCCCCGGTAACTACTCCCAAACCAAGTCCTCCCTTCTTAATATTATCCAAGACCTAGTTCGTATAGAGGAGTCCAGACCTTTGACAAACATAGAATCAAACCTCAGAACGAAAACAAAGTTGGAATACTTCTCTATCCTCAAAAAAGAAGAACTTTATTGGTACTAGAGATCAAGAGTAAACTGGTTAAAAGCAGGGGACCATAATATGGGTTTCTTTCACCAAATAGCTAATTGTCGTAGAAGGGACAATACCATCTCGATTATCTAACTAGATAATTGCTAGTTGGTGCAACTAGAGGAAATAGAGTCTGCCATTCTTGATTTCTTCCGGACCCTATACGCTGTCTCAGCGGGTCCAAGATCGAGAATGACCACTCTTGACTTCCTAACCCTTTCAGAAGACTGGGCACTCTGGCTAGAGCGCCCTTTCTCAGAAGAAGAAATCTTAAAGGCTATCAATGAATTAGCCAAAGACAAAGCACCCAGTCCAGATGGGTTCCCCATAGCACCGTTTAAAATTTTATGGGAAACTTTTTGTCCAGACTTCTTAAGCTTCTTTGACGAATTCTTCCACAAGGGAATTTTCCACAAAGCCATTAACGCTAGCTTCATAGCCCTTGTCCCCAAGGTTGAAGGGGCGGAGGAACTAAAGGATTTTCGTCCAATTAGGCTCCTCAATTCCTCATATAAAATTCTGGCCAAGGTTCTGGCCTCAAGGCTACAATATGTTCTTCCATCTATCATTTCACCGTCACAGACAACTTTCATCAAAGATAGGCAAATTCTAGATGGAGCCTTAGTAGCACATGAGATCCTAGAAGAATCAATGGCTAGAATGGGGTTTCGGGATCAATGGAGAAAATGGATGAGAGGTTGTTATTCCCATCCTTATTTCTCGATTCTCATGAATGGACCCCTCAAGGTTTCTTCTCATCCTCGAGGGGACTGTGCCAAGGGGATCCACTCTCCCCTTTCTTGTTCGCCATTGCAGCTGAAGTCTTCAGTTGATCTATATCACGTTTGTATCACAAAGGCCTCCTCATTGGATTCAAGAGCAGCCACAAAGGCCCAATAGAGTCCCACCTGCAATATGCAGATGACACTTTGGTGTTCCTTGATGCCTCCTTAGAATAAATTGATAACTTGGGAGTCTATCTCAAATGCTTCCAAGTGGTCATAGGTTTCAAAGTTAACATGGAAAAGTCAAAGATGATAGGAGTGGCACTCACGAATACAGAAATCAGAGCTTAATCCCCAAGTGGGAATGTAAAGTAGAGGAACTTTCCATAACTTACCTAGGCTTACCCTTGGGGTTCGGGAAACCAAAAAGGAGACAATGGTTCCACATGATTGATAAGGTGGATGGGCGTCTGGCAGGGTGGAAAGGGAGATACCTTTCCATGGCTGGCTGTACCACCTTGATAAAAGCAACATTGGCAAACACTCCTATCTACCTCATGTCTCTCTTCCACATGCCAACCTCGGTGGCCAATCACCTGGAACTAGTAGTGAGGAATTTCCTCTGGTCAGGACAGGCAGAGAGAACAAAATACCACCTAATATCGTGGGATAGGATCTGCTTACCCAAGCATCAGGGAGGGTTAGGGATCAGGACCCTCAGAAAGCACAACCTGGCCCTCCTTGGGAAATGGTGGTGACACCTAGCCACGCAGACAGACTCACTCTGGGCTCAAGTAATACGGAGCAAATATAGGATTTCGGAAGAAGTTTGGGTGGTGCCCAAGAGGAGGCTGCATGATAGAGCTTCAGAAGCTTAGAAGTCTTTCGCCTTCTCTCTCTCACAGTTCAAAAAGTTCACAAGATTCCACCCTAGAGAAGGAACAAGAGTGCGGTTTTGGTCAGATCTCTTGCTAGGACACACCTCCCTTAGAGAACTCTTTCCCTCCCTATACTCTCTTGCCTCGAACAAAGACTCTACAATGTAGATGAAATGGTACAATTAGGAAGTCGAAGAGTCTGGAACCTCTTGTTAAGAAGAAACCTCGTAGGCGAGGAAACTAGCCTTTTCCAGTCACTCTCGGTAATTTTACATTCCACCTTCATCTCTTTTGAAGGGAGATACTCCATGATTTGGATGCTAACCCCCTCTGGTACATTCATGGTGGCCTCCTTATACAAAAGACTCATCCAACCCCCCACTTACCCCCTAAATCATACCTCTGTATTTCCAAGGTCTGGTCCACAATTGCCCCCCCCCTAAAGTTCAGACCTTCAATTGGATTGCTTGTTCTCAACAGGCACTCACAGTGGACCAGCTTCAAAAAAGAGGGATTCCAATCCCCAATAGATGTGCCATGTGTCTCAGCAAGGAGAATCGAACTCACACCTCTTTATCCACCACGAGGTAGCCCACAACCTCTGGGGTCAACTGTTACAGCTGTTTCACCTCCAATGGGTTACTCCATCGACGGTCAAGGCCCTAATTAACATGGAACATGCATCAATTAGGCTGAAGGCTGGAAGTACTGTATGGAAGGCAGCCATTGCTGCGTCCATATGGGTGATATGGGTCGAGAGGAATATGAGAATATTCCAAGGACACAAGCTTTAGGTACCAGCCCTGTTCCACAAGGCCCCTACTCTAGTAACATTTTGGGCATCCAACCACAGGGTGTTCTTAGGCATTCTAGCAAATGCTTTTATCAGCCAATGGGAAAACTTACTTTACCACAATCCACCAAAGGTGCAAAGACCAAAGGGCACAATAAAGCTTAACTTTGATGGCTGTTCCCTAGGGAATCCTGGCCCTGCAGGAGCTGGTGGAGTCTTTAGAGACCACCATTGCTAGAGACCACCATTGCAACATCCTCTTTGCCTACTCTGAACATCTAGGCCATAGAGACTCGCAATATGTTGAAGCTGTCATTGCTGATAGGACTCAAAAGCTTCAATCATTCCTAGGGCTCAAACCTCTTAGTGGAGGCAGACGCACATAACATTTTAGCTTGGGCAACTGGGACGACACCACCCCCATGGTACGTAGCTTCGATCTTTGATGAAATTGCCTACATCTGCAGGGATACGCATGTCTCATGGAAGCATATATGGAGGACATGCAATGAGTTCGCCGATATTCTGGCGAAATACGGGGCTAGGAGCCAAGAAGAAGATAGCGCCTGGTTCTTCACCTTTTTTTATCAGGACCATAGAAGGCATACTACGTAGAACATCTCATTGTACTCGGGCAACATTATAACTTATTCTCTTTGTGAACTTACTGTAAATCCTTTGTAATCAGGTAGATTTATAAGCCCACATTTTGTATAGGGTCTACTAACCTTTTTTGTACTGAGAGACCCGCCTAAAGGGCTCTCTCGGACTACCACAATCTGTACCCAACTTCTCTAATGCAATTCAAAGGTTAACATTTCAAGAAAAAAAAAAGAGCTCTCCATCTAAGGCGTGTTGAATTTTCTTGGATAAAATAAAAAATTTGACGTGATTCAAGCTAAATTTTTTGTGTTTTTTGTGATCCACACTCCGATCTCAAGTCCGGAACATCTTTGAGTTTCAATGAACAATTTCATTAGTGTTTATCTTTTTGGATAACAATAGTATTTATTTATTTTTTTGTCGTGGTTTATAATTTTCCTAAAAGTTTTTGAGAAAAATGAGATTTCAATGGGTTTATTATTATTATTATGACTATTATTATTAATATTTTTGGTCCTATTGAGGGTATGGCATTGATCGGGTAGAATGGTGGGACAAAATTCGTGTAGCTGACCCCAAATGGTTGGTATAAGGCTCTGATGATGATGATGGTTATTAATTTTTTTGTTCTTGATTCTTGTAGGTGTGGTTTAGATAAATTTAGTATATTTGCATTTTTTTTTGGTCTGAATTTTGGGTTTTCCTGAATTTTTTTGGGAAAATTCAAAATTTTCTGAAATATTGTGTTAATTTTTTATGTTTTCTTCTAAGTTGACCTAGGTAGGGTGTAGATAATTTTTGAATAATATATGTATTTATTCTTTTTTTGTCTATGTTCAAGGTATTCCTGAAAATTTTGAGCCGATTATAATTTTTTTGTAAGTATTATGTTCAATTTGTTTTTTTTTTGGATCTTGTTTTTGGTTATATTAGGGAGTTTTTAGATAGTTTGTGAATAATGTTTGTAACAATTTAGGGTTTTTCTGAAATTTGAGAAATATGCAGAGGGTTTTATAAATATTATGTTGAGTTTTTTGCCTTTTTTTGTTCTATTCTTTCTTAGGTAGATTCCAGATAAATTTTAACTAGTATTTTTATTTATTTGTCTTGGTTTAGGGTATTTCTGAAGAAGTTTTGGAAATCTCCAATTTTTCTTTTTCAAAAATTCTTGTTGGTTAGGGTTTAGAATTTTATTATTCTTGTTTTTTGTTAGTTAGCGTTTAGATTTTTTTACTCTTGCTTTTTTTGTTCTTGTCCTTTTGCAGTTTATTGCATTTTTTACTGGGAAATGACTGTGGCACATAGGCAAGAATCAAACTCTCGGCGTTCGCACATATTTGGTAGTTTCCTTCAAAATATGTAACACTTTGATTAAAAGTTTTCCACAAACTGACTAAATTTGGCTTTCAAATTTGTTGAATACTCTTTTGAAATCATTTTATAAGCTTTGGACGGCCTACCGGTCCGTGTTGATCTGTTCGCTAAGTCAATTGTGACCTAATAGGTGGCTGGTTCGGTTGCTCTAGTCGACTTTTGAAACATTGGGTGCTCCAAAAGTTAAGCAAATGGTGTGCTCCCATGGGAGCATACTCTACTGTGCACTTCTTCATGCAAAAGGCTTATCTAGGAGTGTTTTCTCAATCTAAAATCTTGTTATCCACTCTATAATAACCAGATGAGTATTCTCAAGAAGAAAAGAAAAAAATATTCTCTTATGAGGTTGGTCACTAGGTTCAGTATATTCCCAAAATTTGGTTTCCTAAAAATATTCATAAATAGGGTGTTCACTTCAGGGTACATCCTCAAGAGTACAACCTTGTGACAATTAATACATAAAGATAGGGATTCAAGCTTTTGCTTTGGCCTAGGTCGAAAACCCTGAAGCCCTTAGCTGAAATGAAGTGAGCTTTACAACACTAGTACATATCAGCCTACCAGCAACTAAAAGCTTGTTTTCAGCCAGAGAAACTTGTCCTAGTTAACTTGACTAGTCTAATAGGAAAAATTTACTGGTAAAAAAATATGAACATGTCCGGGTTTTTCCTTCAGTGTAATTTTTTATGTTGACTCGACTGACATATGGTTTCTTCCACTGTGGTGCCATATTGACATCAATTGGGTTACATGCTCGGTTTGATTCCCCATTCGATCCCCTCATTTTGAATTTCTTCAGACAGAAGTTAAGGGATTTTTTTTCCTTTGAAAATTACCTTGTTGCATTCTAAAAGTCCGTGTTGTTTACACGAGCATATCCATTCATTCGGACTTTGACTTTGCCCATTCTTTCCTCTGACTCTCCTGAGAAAGAAGTGGAGAGGGCAGTGGTTGGTGGCAAAGAGGAGTAGGAAGGTTATAGGTGGACAATGCATCGGATTAGCTTTCATACTTTGATTCGACGTGAGATACGATCAATCCATCATTCCATAAGAGTCGTAATCCCGCAAGCCTTTCTCATTTAACTAGGGCGACCTGTTTGATAGTAATGTAGGGCGACTACTCTTCTAAAGGGCAGGCGACGACCTCTTTTGGATCTATTGAACATGCTTTTGAGTTGACTTGATTGAATCTCGGCATTGGCAAAGGGCAAGGTCTCTCCTCGAGATTGGAGCTTGAGCTCATATCGATATGCCAGAGGTACCGGCTTTGTTCCGCATGGTTACCATGCTCAGGCTTTAGGCCCTGTTCTAATATCTGTGCAGAAGCCTCACAGTGCCATGGTCTCGACTGCCTTCTTTGGTTTGCTGTTCTCTTAAAAGTGCTTCTAAGACGCGGACTCCACCAATAGCTATTAGAATGTGTCTCGTTGCCACTCCTAACAGGTATCACTAGTAGAAGGTAGTAGTAGTAGCTGTGGAGTGCTTCATTTGCTCGGTATAGGCAATTTCGTCTCAAGAAGAAATAGTAAACCAACATTTTGCTGATTTTAAGAGTTCCAATATCTGATAATCTGCCATGGTCGCCTTGGAGGCCACGGACGTTCCAAGATATAACCGACATTGAAGTACATGTTAATTTGATGTTAAAGACTTGTCCAACTAGAAGTCAACATGCTTGACCTAAAAGTAATTGGCATTTGGATGCATTACCATTGCAATAATGAGCCCGTGGCAAACTTTAAACCGTAATTTATGGCTTCTGTGAGTGAAAAAATATGCGCGTGTAGGCTGTGCTATACATTTGGATGGCGTTATTCCTTCCCAGAATTCATATTGTGATTTGTAACATTGGCTTCTGTGTCTTCCTTTTTCTCTATTGTGGACAGTGTTTTATTGAAAACAATTGGATGTACCAGTTTGATACCTTTACAAAATTGATCCCTAGGTGAACTTCCAACTTAAACCATGATTTACGGTTTCTTTAATGAACATGTGGGTGTTTGAGTGATGCAACCTGAGTGGTTTGTGTCCAACTTGATTGTCCAGCAAGTGAGCATTCAAGTGAACATTAGCTTATGTATTTAAGCTCCACTTTTTGTTAGGTCTATTTATGGCTTTCATCTTTTCAGTATTGCTTGGATCAAGATTTAATTGTATGGCTCTATCTGCAAGACTTTGAGACCATAAATCATGTGTTATGTACACTTGCAATTATCACGGAATGGTTTCCCATTTTATATTAATCTTTTCTATAGCAGTAATTTTGTTATGTTGTCTTCTGAGTCTCTGCTTAGGAGAATATGTTGCTAGTGGAAGTGATGATGGCCGATGGTTTATCTGGGAGAAGAGGACTGGAAGACTGGTAAAAATGCTTGCTGGAGATGAAAATGGTAAGAGTACATTTATCCCATTATTCATACTTTATTTGCTGCTTCCTTATCTCATTCGCATGCTGTGAATCTTTGGTTGTTGCAGTTGTGAACTGTGTACAGTGTCATCCTTTTGACTGCTGTATAGCAACCAGTGGAATTGATAACACAATCAAAGTGAGTGCTATTACGAGGTAGTTGGATTTGACATCAATATCCCAAGAATGGCATGGAGTCTTAAAAATTTCACCTTAGCTGTGCAGATATGGAGTCCTTTTGCCCAGGCCCCTTCAGTGGTTGCTGGTGGAACAGCTGGCCCTGAAACTACAGATGTCTTAAGTGCCATGGAAAGCAATCAGCATAAAATGCGTCGCAATCGTGAAATTGGATTGTAAGACTTTAATTTGCATTCATAGCTTTAACAGAAGAATTAATGTTGAATTTCTATTTTGTTTCTATGCCATAAATAGAACAGTTAAGATAGTTCTACATAGTTGCAATGTTGAGAGGATAAGATGTGGGATAATATTGATGCATTTCTAGTCTTACCCTTATCCTTATCTTATTGGTAACTATATTTCATTAATTAGGGAATAAAGATTTACAGGCATAAGACATTTACAAAAATAATCAACAACATTCCCTTAAAAAATCGATGGAATATACTGAGGCATTCTCAATTCTGGTCTTGTGATGATTATTTTAAGATAGAAGCTGATCCAAAGAAATTCAGGAGAAATGGTAGTTGGGCTAGGATGGTATACCATGGAGTTCACTTTTTATGCAAAATGGAGGACAATGAGTTTCTTGCAGCCTTCCAGTGTGGCATTGACCTAGGGACAGTAATTCTGTTAGATTAAGGAAGTACATGAGATGTTTGCCCTCCCTATCTATGGATCATCGGTAGCCATAGTGAAAGCTCATATAATTGGCAATAGCAGCACTTTTATCTTTTCAGTAACCTTTGGAGATTCTCTATACTGGTCGGAGGTCTTGAATCTCATTGGTCTGAATGCCAACATCCAAAGAGAAAGATTGAATGTCAAAAGTAACCTTTTTCAAAGGAGAAAAGATTGCCAATAATTAATTTCATCTTGACCCATCATGATCTGAAATAACTTGACACCTAGGCTTCTATTAAAACGACTTTGGTGAAAGTTTATTTCCAACCAGTGATGAAATAGAGGACAAACTTACCTTGTGATTGCTCTCGTGTCCTACTTGTAATATCTATGCGATAAAGAAAAGTGCTACAGTGTCCTTGTAGTTGAGATGTTGCTTGCGCTTCCAAATCTCATTCCCTAGCCACTCTAATCCTTCATTTAGAAAACTCCCAGCTGAGCTCATACTCTGCATCTAAACTTGTAATATTGGCAGTGTGATAAATTGGACAAGATCTGTTTGATTTGGGAATCCAATTAATGTTTTCTTTTTATTTATAAAAATGTTTCTTTTTTTAGTTGATGTATGATGCTATTGTTATTTATAGACTGTGGCCAATATTTTAAAAATTCGCCCTGTGACCTAGGATTCAATTCTAGTTGACTTTGCTTTGGTTGAAATGGTCAATGCCGATATTGTTTCCCAGTACAGGAGAGGGGGATTCTTTAAGCTTCTAAGCTCACCTAGTATGTACTTTTTACATCTTTTTCATATCATGTTAAAGTTATGGCCATCCCTAGGTTGCTTTGGTATATGAGGGCATTTGTGGTTGTGTCAGGTGTTCCATTTAGACGATCTATGAACTCTTGCCGCTGATCCTGTTGAAAGGAGTGCCACTTATGCACTGCATTTTATGTCTACTGTCATAGCCCCATTTGACAAATTTGTTTTCTGAAGTGTTCGTATGGATTGGATTTGTTGACATGTTGGTTTTTGCATTATTAGCTTGCAATTCAACTTATTGATTCCTATGGGAATGAAATGTTAGTTCATATTTTGGAACTGGGTTGAGCTTTTCTTTGTCAGTCTTCTCTTTACCTCTGATAGTTTCATTCTCCTATTACAGGCCATTTGAAATTCTGGAGAGGCTTAGGATGCATGAGTTTACAGAAGGAACTATTCATCCTTTTGAGTGTACTCAGAGCTAGTCTCTCAATTGGATGTAGCTGGTAAGTGTGCCTTTCTCAGAAGGGCTGTAATTTCATTATAAGCCATGCTTTTCGTTAATTCCTATGGGAAAATGAGCTGCATGTTTTCAGAAATACTATATAGGCATTAGACAGAATTTTACTTGGTTTGTAATTTGTTTATTGATATGCTGCCAAGTTGAATTTACTAAGGAAGATAAAATTGTGTCCCAATACTCAGGGTTGGGACTGGGCGGGCTTTGGGCCTAAGCATTGGGCAAAGTGGGTGAAAGAAGTGGTTACGTGGAAATTAAGGGAGTAAAATAAATTTTTTTTTTTCTTTTATGAATGTATCTGAATTCTACTTACAAGTGCCATAATACACTGCTGTAAACAAGAAAAAAAATCCTAAATACAACCTAGGATCGTAGCTTTTACTACCAAATAAAATAGACGTGATCTAGGACTGAAAAGCAAACTTCCACTAACAATTTTAGTACATTTAGTTTTCATGGAAATTCAAATAAACAAGCAAAGTTGACTGAAAATTAAAAGCAAACAGTCGAGAAGGCTTACTCGAATTTGCTTAGGGTTGCTCGACTTAGTACACCCCACACCCAATTTCCTGACTGATGTCACACTCTGATCCTATTGGCTTGCTAAATTTTCCAACTTGGAAGCTTGCTTATGAGAGTGTAGGCTGGATCTAGGGTTTTATGTAAATCTCTGGAATTCTAAGGCATTACCACGAGGAACCTCCCTTTTGCTTAGGGCTGGGTGTGCCTCCCTCTATATGGCCTAGGTTAGGGTTTCCAAGGTGGTGCATGCCACCCACTACACACACACACACACACACACACAGAGAGAGAGAGAGAGAGAGAGAGAGAGAGATTGTATGTTGAGAATGAGGTCAAGGGCCACTAGGTATGCCCATCCAATTATGACTCATCATGACCAATGGAATTTTGAGAAATGTGAGGTGGAAGAGGATTAAATCTGAGTCATTCATCCCGTGAATCAACCATCAATATTTAAGGAGGAATCTAGGAATCTTATCCCTTGAATCTTTGATGACCCATATCTACTTGTCAAACTAGGATAAAACCAATCTTAAAATAATCTTCTAGAGCGTGCTTTCTCTCTAACAAAATTGTGGAAGTAAAAAATAAAAGATTTGGTCAAAGTTCTATAAAAAACTAACTCCCACAAAATAAGGTTATAATTGTTTTCAAAAAGATTTCCTTGACTGACTTTAATAACCTTTTATTTTTAAAACAAAAGAAAATGAGACGGGGTTGTGCCACGATGAGGAGTGGCCCCCCCATGGGCGCCACTCCCCATCTATGTGGTGTGGCACATATGTGGGGTTGCATCCAACAGTCCCATATGTGCCCGACAACCATAATTTCATAAACTCCCTTTAAGGGTTTTTTTTTTTATTGCTGAAATTAGTTTTAAAAAATCTGGAAAAATTTCTAAAATTCACGAAAACATATATTATACTAAAGAAAAAATATCTAGCAATGGACTGGTGTCAATAGATCAAGATAAGTGATTGTTAGGGCACACCACCGACCGGTAACCTTAACCCTCGATTATCTTCTCAAACCAACCCAACGAGAGCCTTGACCCATAGCCTCATGCAGGGGCTCATGATTGGCTTGTCAAAGTTGACCAATAAATAGTTGAACTACGGTCTTGGGTTGTGGACTACTAGTTCCCCCTTAAGAGCAAGTCACATGCACATATCACTATAGTGCAAGGGGGGTTATCTCTGTGCACATATACACGTATCCCTTTTTAGGGTTGCTTTCCAATAATGCGACTGTCATGTGTACATGCTGTGTGGAATTTGTTGAGGATTTAACCATTGTTCTCACAGGCCTACATTTGTACATAGGAGAACACAGTTTTTCTGGCCTATAGTCCATCCCTAGGTGTTTCTCTAAACTCAACAAAGAGATGACCCCAGATTTTCCATAATTTTCTTTAAATTCTCTTTTTTTCCATCTTATTTTTCTATATTTCTTGAAGTTCTTAATTTATTTGATCAATCCAACCTATGGGCTAATCCAGACTGGCTATCTAACTAGACCATGCCCCACTAGTTTGGTCACTGGTCAGGTTTAAACATCATGCTGTAGTCACAATCATCATATGCTAGACTTGAATGTCACAAAATTCAAAGCTCAAATGACTTAAAGCAAAGAAACTCAAACGAAGACAACAACTCTCATAAACTCATATTTCAAATTGATTTTCATCATTAATGATGATGCCAAGCCATCATCGTCAAAGTCATCTCTCTTGCTCTACATATTGCATTTGTTTCCTGTTCTCCTCTTCCCTTGTTTTCCTCGTCCTTTCCCTTTGAGATTGAGATTGAGTTGTCTCACACAAGGGTCAATGGCATTCCCGCAGCATCACAAACTTGAATCTAACTCAAGTTCCATACCAGGGACTACTCCATAATCTCCATCATCGACCAATTGCTCACTAGAATCATCCATGTCTTACAGAAATGGTGTCTATTGGATTGGACACCTAATAACACTCCTTAAGCCTCTGATAATTGAAGAAAAACAACGGCCGTTCAGTCTCTTGTGCTCGAGCTTATTTTTTTTCTTCTTATGTATCTATAGCGCATGAATGCATAAGTAGAACATAGCAAAACACAACACAAGTTAGGGATAGTAGGAGACACGGACAAATGGATGATGAGTCCAACAATAAATTATCATCTTGAATGTGCCGATGTTGTGGTTGCAACTAGATGAGCTACAAATCAAATTCAAAATGCAGATAGCTATTTTCTTTTCTACAAGTGATTGGTGCTTCCTGCATCCCGCC